TGATGCGCCTCATGCTCATGAACCTGGTGCCACTCATGCCCATCTCCCTGAAGTTCCTGTACTCTCCGGGCCTCATGTACATCATCCTGCCTCTGTAGTGGGGCTGCTCGTACATCAGCCAGTGGCCGTCCATCACGTTGCAGGACATGCAGTCGGACATACGGTAACGGTCCTGGATGGAGTCGCAGTCGTCCATCATCTCATTCATCTGACCACTGAAGTTCTCCCTCTCGTAGATCCTCATCCTAAACTGGCCTCTGTGCTGTTTAGACAAAGAAGACACGATAAAGGTCCAGGTTTGTGGTCTGGGCTTGTTTTTGAACATGAAGGCTGAGCTTGGTGCTTCAAACCTACCATTGGGATCATACGGCAGGACCTGATTGCACCGCTCCATCCCATCATGTTCATGTAGTCAGCGTACTCGCCCCTCCTCATGAAGTACTGGTTCCCCATGAAGTTGGTACGATCGTAGACCATGAAGCAGCCGCTCTCCACCCTGCAGGAGTGACACCTGCTCAGGTAGGAGGACATGTCGGAGCAGTCGCTCATGCACTCATAGGAGCGACCCTGGAAGTTCCTGTCCTCGTAGAAGATGATCTGGAAAACAAGGAGAACTTTAGTTGTGACCCGACAAGTACACTTTCATCTCACATTAATAGTTTAAAAGACTATTTAAACATTTTGAACTTGCCTTGCCCATGCTCATGTCAGTGGTGGACATATCTGTAAATGAGCTGCTGCTGTTGCTTCTGCTACCGCTGCACTACCGTCCTGTATGCTTTAACCCTTGCTTTTATACCTGACAGAACCCTGCAGAGTCAGTGGGCCCCATTGTTCAAAGTACTGACCCAGCATTATGGTATAGAGCCATTTAGTGACCCGTGACTCTTGCCATGTATTCACAAGAGCGGCCTTCGAAGACACTAAAAGTGCAGCCTTTTGTCGAGCAACATAAAGTCTTTTCATTTCAGTTTTTTCCTTCATTTTTAAAAATAAATATTTATCATTTACAACATAAGCTACAAAATTCATGTTATATATTGTTACAAATCTGAACCCTCCTTCCTAAAACAGAACAAAACTGGTCTTGTACAAAAATATAATATCTACTGTATTAATTTCACATGATCATATATCTAAAAAACCTTTCATGTCTGGTATACTCTATCATTTATGATAAGATACTATTTAAATTCTCTGGTTTGCCTTTGACACAGTATTATAACTCTTCCCACCAGTGTTGGGGGTTCTGGGGTTTTCCAGAACACCAGAATGCATTTGTTGCTGCTGTCGTTGCAAGAAGAGCTAGTTTCTATTGACAGTGGTTTAAATCATATATCTGTGTCCTCAGAGCAACACGTGGGACGCTCCTGATTTATTTCTGGAATAATTTACCTAGATGTAGGAATATTTAGTTCCAGTATTCCTTCAGTTTCTTCTAGTCCCAGAGCATTTGATATAAATCTACTCCAGCTTCAGTACATCTGTGGCAATGTAAAGTCTATAACGATCCCAATTATCAGGGAACCCAGAGAATATAGACCGAGGAAACAGACTGAAAACTCTTCATATATTAAAGTGATTTTATTTACAGGGATGTGATATTTATATGCAAATGGGGAAACCTGGGAAACCTGGGGAAGGAGGAGAAGAGTGAGGATGACTGGAATAAGGGAATGCCAGGTAATAGTTTGTGTAGTTCTTACAGGAAGGCAGGTGGGTTGTGGCGTTGAGAGGAGAGCAGAGGATTCTAGGCAGGTATGGTCCAGGGTCGAGGAGCGCAGGAGGAGTGTAGAGGTAAGTACTGATGAGACAGAGTCACAACTAAAAGGGAAGTGATTTTTATTTACGTGTTTGAAGAGGGTTTCTTGCTGTAGGAGGAAGAATGGGAGTAAGGTGAGTATGATTGTTTCAGAGAAGCTTGATGGTAAAGAATTGTTTGTTGATGTCGGTACTGGTGTTTGTTTGCAGGTTGCGTTATAGAGGGGGGAGGCACGAGGTCCTAGTAGTGCCGAGTGTGGTATCTCAGGAGTGACCCAATCGAACGAGACCCGGAACGACACGAGACTCAGAGTAAAAATAACAGTGTTTATTTATTTACAGTGATAAACTGGCTGCACAGGCATCAGGACTGGAACTCCTGGAAACGGAGGACAAGTTCAGCTGGGGCAGGTAAGTTGTTTGATATAAACTTGCAAGTAGCTTTCTTATCTTACAGTTGGTGGTTCTTGTAGGAGTTGATCCAAGAGATACCCAGAGTTTCCAGAGGAGATGGTGAGATGGAGGCACTGTGCAGCAGCTTCAGAACAGGACGAACACTCCCAGAGACCGAGTGGATTGGCACGAGAGATCAGAGCTTGGGCAAGGCACGAGAGAACTGAGAGCAGGAACCCGTGGAAACAGGACTGAACTCAGGAGGCGACGAAGAACTGCAAAAACAAGATCACAGGGTAAGACTTGTATTCCATGAAACACTAAGTGGCTAGAAACATTAAGTACCGGGGGAACTCAATGCTCCAGCGTCGAGTAGACTTGACAGCAGGCTTAAATAGGAGCAGGAGCTCATCAGGGAGATGACCGTCAGCTGGGGGTGATTGGCGGCCATCTTGGAAGCTGCAGCAAGTGCTACTCTCACACCGAGGAGATGAAAGGGTGAGTAATGCTGGAGAGGATACTTGGTTTGTGGTGTTCAGTGTTGGGTCCAGGCTGAGTCTTGTTATTTGTGGGAACAGGATGATGTCTGGGCGGAGTCACAAGGAGTGAGGAGGTAGTTGAGGAGACACTGAGGAGCAGGACTTGGAAACACAGCAGAGGATCAAAAGGTTGGTTACAATTTCAAAAATAATCCGTTTCTGTCTGTCACTTTAATTATAGGTATCATAATGTTCCAGCTTAGGACAAACGTCCGACAGGGGTTGAATAGTCGAAGGAGACGTCCTCAGAATCAGGTACAAGTGTGGCTGGGTGGAGATTGGAATGACTGTCGGCTGAGGGGAAGTGATTACGGCAGAGAAAACTAGGAATCCTGCTGCCTCTTCTTGCCTTTGCGGCGGCTCATACATGTACGAAGGCCTTACATGCTGAGCAAGAACTTCACTCCCAGCAGGTCTACTTTGTTCATCAACACTTGCAGATGAATCATAAAAGATATCGTCCAACTCACTTGAACTTTCTCCACTGAAACCATCCTCACTAGCACACTCCTCCATCAGGAAGACGCTCTCCTGACTGTGGCTCGTCCGTTCTTAACATCATCAGTCTTTGGCAATCACTGGCCGTGTGCTCAGGTGTTTCAGTAACTGTTTCTTTTTCTTTGCATTTGCCTCGAATGTGAAAAAATGTGTATAAATGTGTAAATATAAAAATATAATTCTACTACAGTGATTACTCATTAACTATAATGGTGAGTGTTGGACTTTAAGAATAAACGTCTCCAAATTCCCCCAGATGTTTTCACAAGAGGACCTCCTAATCACAAGACGGGCTGGCGAGATCACTGGTGCGCCACCACAGTTTCTTGATTCTGTCCTCACTGCTCCATGTGGACGTTATCTTCACATGTGATTCTTGACCTGCCATTGTGTATCTGTTCCTCCTTCCTGTTACAGCCGAGCTGTTGCTTCAGCAACGGCCAAGCTGCAGCTCAGTTGGCTCACGGATACCTCTCGGCTGCCTCTGAAGTCCTACCAGCAGACAAGGCCCAATAAGGCTCCTTCTTCAGCTTGATGGTCTCCCTCACTCAAGGTGGCCACCACTTCTTCTAGAATGTCTGCTGTGAAAGGTGCCGACAACCTCCATGTCACAGGTAGGTAGCTCCACCTGTGGTATTTTGTTGTGTTGCAGTACAGAATCTTAAAAACTTGTCATAGAGTTTGTCTTCTATAGTGGTGGGCAAACTTGATCTAAATAAAAATTTAAAATAAAACTGTGTTAAAACAATGAAACTTAAAATATTAGAAATGGTTTGAAAAACTCCTTCTGGTTTTGTGAAAGAGCTCATAAATGAGTAAATATGTTTATAATAAAAGTAATTTGTAAAACATGGAAAATATTTAATTTTTTTAATTCTCAGTACAGCAAACTCTACGCCGTTGCTTGCATTGCTGGCCGGAGCTGCCATGTTTAATCTTTGATTCAGTTAAACATGGTAAATATCCATAATTTGTGATAATAATAATACTTTGAATAATTATACTTCATTTGTATAGCACTTTTTTTAAACAAATGTTACAAAGTGCTTCACATTAATCAATTAAAGCAACATCATAAATGACGTTTTATCAATAAAATACAGCATATATTTCTCATATCTTGATTTTTTTTAAAGTACAATTCAACTAATTACCATTTAAATTAAGGGGGGACCGGCCGAGCTCCATCCAGCTCGCTCTGAATTTTGTCATCGGTCACCAAGCACAAAAAACGCCTGCACTTCAGCGTTAGACCACGATGTCATTATTGTTTTTCAAGTCTTTAAAATACGTCCAGTTGCTCCTCAGAGTTTGACTTGTTGCAAATGGAGGATCTTGTTGTTGTGAAAGTTTCTCAAACCACCAGTGACTCCACCCCCTGACCACAGTGACCGACAGTGTTCTGACGTCACGTTTTGGTGCCGGTTCCAACCGAATATGAACATTCCCTTTAGTTGAGCTAAACGTCCTTGGGGAAATAAATATGACTGGTCTAGATGATTATGATGACCGTGTTCCTTTTGTTGACCTAGGGGCTCCCCCTTGGAAGGAGGAAAGAATTACAGCCATGGTGACACCCCCAAGGTGCAACTTTACCTCACTTTATTGATGCTGTGTCTTCAGACTTCAGTGGTGACGTCAGACTTAAGGTTCGTTTAGCTCGCCTTCAGTTCGAAGCACAAGAAGGGAACTGGTGCTTAAGGTAGAATTTGATTTCAAACTCCAGTTCGCCAGTTGCAAATGGCCGAGAAGATGGTCAAATTAAAACAGCTTGAAGTGGAAGCTATGAGGCTTTTACAACGTCATACTTTTCCTAGTTCATCTGTTCCTCCTGGTTCTCTGCAGGTGTTATTGGATGAACACAGATTTGATATAAGCAAAAATGTTTCTTTGGTGCCATCTTTTAGGGAGGCTGAAGTTGATTCCTATTTAATGCCTTTGAAAGGATTCAACCGCACTAGAATGGCCTAAGGACATGTGGGCTGTGCTGATGCAATGCAAAATAATGAGGAAGGCTCAAAAGGTGGTATTGTCTGTTTCTACTGAAGAAAGCATGAAGTATGAAATACTGAAAGAGTCTATATTATGTGCTTATGAACTTGTGTCAGAGGCCTACAGGCAAAAGTTCAGGAATCACAGTAGGTCTAGTGGTCAAGCATGAGGAGTTTGCATGAGAGAAAGGAATTATTGTTGATTAATTGTGTGCTGCTGATCTATTTCACTTAAGGACTCTGTCAATTTATTGTGGTTGTCATGTTAATGCCCCACTTCCTCCAAAAAAAAAAAAAAAGCTTGAGACTGACTTCCGTGTTAGATGGGTGTGTTCTGCCCTGGAGGGGTATAATCAAGCCTGGTCTATTTTAAACCCTGGATACTCTTTCCTGGGCCAAACTGTACCCAGGTTAAACCTGGTTGTGGTTTAATTTGGTCTGCTACACCCGAAAAGAAAAGTGGTCAAATAAAACAAAATATATGATGTATGCTTCATAAACCATATGCATCATATTGTGTCATAGCTTTTCAGAAGAACAAGACACTTTTACACAGTCTGGGTGGTTTGGAATTATTTTATTCAGCAGTAATGAACTGTAATAATTTAATACCAGGAATCCATGATGCGCCTCATGCTCATGAACCTGGTGCCACTCATGCCCATCTCCCTGAAGTTCCTGTACTCTCCGGGCCTCATGTACATCATCCTGCCTCTGTAGTGGGGCTGCTCGTACATCAGCCAGTGGCCGTCCATCACGTTGCAGGACATGCAGTCGGACATACGGTAACGGTCCTGGATGGAGTCGCAGTCGTCCATCA